TCAAAAAACAAAAAAAAAAAAAGAAAGAAAAAGACCTCACAAGATAAGGATTATATATTTAAAAAAAGAAATATGACAGGCATGATGGTAGACTCCTGTAATCCCAGCTATTCTGGAATCACAGGTTTGAGGCCAGCCTGGGCAACTCAGTGAGACCTTGGCTCAAAATAAAAATGAATGGGACTTTAGTTTAGCCTTCCCTGGATTCAATCCCCAGTACAGAAAAAAGGAAAGGAAAATTTTTTGCATAGCTATATACCATGTTTCTGGTTTAAGCTGTTTGACCCAGAGCATCTTGGAATCCTACAAGCTCCGTTAAGTGTATACAAAGTATACAATTTTTCATCTTTTATATTATATTTTTTGAGACAGGGTCCCATTGTGTAGCCCAGGCTGTCCTCGAACTTGCATTCCTCTAACTGGGATTAATCCCAGCACTCAGGACACTGAGGCTGGAGGGGCAGAAGGATCACTGCGAGTCAGAGGCCAGCCTAGGCTCCATAATGAGTTCAAAGCCAGCCTGAGCTGCACAGAGAGATCCTGTCTCAAAAACACGAAACTTGTATTCCTCCTGCCTCAGCCTCCCAAAAATTGGGATTACAAGTGCATGTCACCACACCCAGCCCTCTATCAAGTTTTTATGGTATCTTTTCTGTGTTTAGACACAAACTTATTGTGTTTAAATTGCCTACAGTATTCTGTACCACACCACGCCATATAGGTTTGTAGTCCAGAGCCATAGATATATAGCCTGTGCATGTAACAGGCTCTACAGTCTAGGCTGTGACAAAATAATCTAAAAACACAGTTATCAAAATATACCCCCAACTAGGCACAGTAGCACCAGCCTGCAATCTCAGCACTCTAGGAGGCTGAAGCAGGAGGATCACAAGTTCAAAGTCAAGCTGGACAATTTAAAATTTCAGTAAGACCCTGTTTCAAGAAATAAAAGGGCTTGGAGATGTAGCCAGTGCAAAGCCCCTGGGCGTAACAACCAGTATCATAATAAAATTGTTAAGCAACACATGACTGCAGGGCAGAGGCGGAGGAGGTAGGACAGTGATTTGATCAACATCCAACCTCAGTACCTCAGAGTTACTGGCTTATTCCCTACAAGTCTCACTTAAAAACTGTCATGAGTATTTCTCAGATGAAGAATTAGAAACAGCAAATAAATATATGAAAAAATGTTCAACATCACTGGTCATATGAGAGATGCAAATGAAAACACTGCTGAGATTCCATCTCACCTCAGAAAGAAAGACTGCTATCAAGAAATCAACCAATAACAAATGTTGGTGGGGTGGCAGGGAGAAAGGAACCCTTCTCCATTGTTGGTGGGAGTGCAGACTGGTGTAACCACTGTGGAAATCAGTATGGAAATACCTCAAGCAACTAGAATTAGAGGCTCCATTTGACCCAGCTATTCCCCTGCTGGGTATCTTTCCAAAAGAATTAAAAGACTCATACCACAGTGATATATGTGCACCCATGTTTATAGCAGCACAGTTTGTGATAGCTAAAACTTGGAAACAGTCCAAATGCCAATCAACTAGTGAGTGGATAAAAAAGAATTTTTTTATACAATGGAGTACTACTCTGCCATAAAGGATGAGATTCAGACATTTATAACTAAACGGATGAACCCTGAGACCATACTCTTAAGTGAAATAAATTAGACACACGTGTAAATACTGCATTGTTTATCTGGTGTGAGAAACTGAAAGCGGAAATAAGGACTGAAATATATAATGGATGTTGGGAAATGGGAAGAAAGTGTTCAAATGGGAAGGGAAACAAGGGAGGAGGAAGGGACAAGAAAAAAAGAGAAAAGGGGAAAAATGGGGAAAAAAAATACCTGTCACAAGAACTTCGCAATTCTCAGGCCCTAGAACCTTATACCTGAACCTCTCCAATGAACAAAGAGCGAGGAGCCCAAACCCTCCACACCTCTCCGAGGGAGTCACAAAATGGCTTGGCTCATCTTGATCGCAAGCTCCCAGTAGATGGCAAGGAAGAATTTTCAGTGCAGTAACAGGCAATGCCATTCCTATGCCCTCTGCCCTGAGGAAATTCTTCAATTTACAGACTGAAGAAAATCAGGTAACTTTTGTAAGTCTGAGGGGAGAAGTGACAGAGGCTGCACAGCAAATAACCGATTCATCCCTGTCTGCATTCACTCACGCTCTCCCTAGACACTGACCAAGACCTGCTCAAGGACTCAGACCACACAGGGCTCTGGGAGGTCAGTGCCAAGGAGGGCTTCCAACTGGGAGAGAGGCCTTCAAGACAGGTCTCCCTGGGAAAGACACGTGCACAAGACCAGGGAGCTGGTGGAGGAGGCCTTTCACCTCATGTCCACTGTGGCTCCTCTTAGGACTCTAAGCCTGTCTTCAAATTATGTAATGAAGCTTTTATTTTTTTAAAGTACTGGGGGGGGCCCTATCCCTTTCAACTAATAGCAAGGTCTCCACGATCGTTGAGAGAGATCCAGGCCACCAAGGGAACCGATGAGGTCAGGGGCAGCCAGAATCACTGTGAGTGGCAGCAGACAGGAAGGCCTAGGAGCAGCAGGGTGGCTTCAGAAACTTGAGCAGGTCAGCCCCGTGGACCCCAGCCAAGCTACAAACCTCGGAAGGGCTGCTGGGGAGAGCCAGGCACGCGCTGGAGTCTAAAGCCCTCAGCTCCCAGCTGCGCCACACGCCACACCCTACAGCGTTCTCCTTGCTCAAGTGGCCCAATCAAAGCACCTCCCTTTCAAAGGGCCTGGCTGTTCCTCACAGGAGAAGTTCCAATCAGCACCAGGGCTCTAGTGAATGTCCCCAAGCCAACAGGCACCTTGTATTCTTTGGCACAACACATCTAAATCACATTCCTTCCAAATGTGTCAAGCACGCAACCCTAAAAGAATTTTCAATGAAGGGCAAGGGGTTGGAGAGGAGGCTACTCCCCCACCCCAAGTTTCCAACCACACCCCTGAGCAAAGAGAAAGGAATTTCGGGGAACACCCAACTTCCCCCCTTGAAAGTGCGGATTTGCTTTTACTACCGAACTCCACGCTCCACGCCACGAGCCCGAGTGTCTGTCGCTAAAATAGGGTGAGGGGTCCACATCCTACCCAAGAGAGGCTGGCTCCAGGCGCCCTTTCCCGCCCAGCCCAAGGCCCGAGGCATCAGTGCCACCGCCCTGGGCCGCTTCTCCCGCCCCGGCCCACTCCGAGCTCCTCGGCAGGGCGTGGGCACCGCCAGACAGG